TGGTGACTGGTATCTAGGTTTCTTGAGACAACTTATATTTGTACTTATACTTTAAAAAAGTTTTACATTATTATAGAATGCACAACACTATTCGTTAACGTTATAGAAAATGTGATATATGTAGGTATATAGATAGATTTTTTTAAGGGGGGAAATTATCGAATGACTGCTCCCGCCTGGGTGAGGCGGAAGGGAGTGTCAGGCTCTTACTGACTAAAAACCACTCCGTTCCTTCTCCTGCACGTCGAGCCGGAGCCCCGTTTGTTACAGTACAGTTACTAGTGTGTCCTAACTTTGTTGTCGTGTAAAATGCGCGTAACTTAACATAATAAATCACAAAGCAGACTAGACTGCATTTTTAATACAGAGATGACCTAGAAACTGTGCAAATATTACTATCATAAATAAAATTTTGCAGTCCTGCGATCACATCGACATCGGTAGTATTGTAATAGGTTTTTTAATGTGATGTAAGTTAGTCAATATCAATTTGAAAACCAGGTCAGCACCTTTAATGTTGTCCGTGTGTGACGCAGGTACCCATGCAGTAATCTACGTAATAGAGACCCATGTCCGTTCCATTTCCCTAAAGTAGAGAAAGGATCGTGTTGTATTTGGACACAGTAATTCGGTATTTTTTGACGAATTCATTAATATAAACTTCACCGTGTTGATTGCGATATTGAAGGCTCCTTTATAAACACAAGTTGCATTGTTGTAAAAAAATATTTTAATTGTCTTTTCTTCACGTGAGCCTAATTACCTAGTTAACGAGTTAATGGTTTTATATGCAAGTTGTGGTTTGACCTTATGACTTTTTGCATGATGGGTGAGGAATAAGTATCGAATAAGTGAAGGATACTTGAACCTTATGTAAATACGTAGTAGTTACGAACCGTATAACTTTCGAATACCTATGAATGTATGATAAATTATATACTTATCTCTTTCTCCATTGTTGTCACATTGTCGTAATATGTAGGTAGATATACATACTTGTTTACGGTGCAATGGTGCAAGTGGTGCAAATAAACCATTTTTCTTTTTAAATATACTATTGACTACGAGACCACTTAAGGATATCTAGGTATATCACACATCAACAGCGTATAAGTGGCTTCTGCTGAACTGCTGACCAAAGGCCTTATCTTACACGGAAAAGGCTTTTTCTTATTCTTTATGTTTTAAAATTTAATCAACCACTTCATTTCTCTGCACTTCCCTGTGGTTGACTGTCAGAGAATGCCAGTGGCGTAGCGTGCCTTGGGGGGGCCCCGTATCAAAAATTGTTTAGGGGCCCTTGAAGGGTAAATTTAGTCATTCAAATTTATTTCATAACTTACAAGAGATTTTTTTTAACATAAAATACTTATAATTTATGTGAAAACCAAAAATCTTTTTAGGCAACTCCGACTTAATTAGCGGACCTTAATTACTTTTATTTTTCTTAAGTTTCTGCCAACCTTTAAACGCATGCTTTATGTGAAAAAAAAGCGTTTATTTTGACTTTTCTGATTACTGAAATATAATAAGAGTTGGGAAGTTTTTATTAATTTTTGCTTAGGCACGTTGGGGGCCCCTGTAGTCCGGGGGCCCCGTATAATTGATACGGCAGATACGGCGCTAACTACGCCCCTGGAGAATGCCATAAGGTATAGAGGCCGCCATTCAAAATAAATAAATAAATACGAGGTCAGAGCATTAATCACCACGGTTTCGCAATGCAGGTTAGCCATTTCAAACTTATAATTAGGAATTATACCAAGAGTTCAAGTTTCCTCTGAGATAACCTGAGAAAGAACATCTAATTTTGAAAAAGTCAAATTGATATTTTCCGTTACAGAAGCGGGCGTCTTAAACCCACTGATATGATTGTTATATTTATAAATCTATGCTTAAACCTCTGGGTCACCGAGCAGAGTTGTAAGATGTAATCCAATGGTGGAAATATTGTGAGTTAAAAGAGTTTTGTCGATCTCAACACTATCCTATGATCCTACTATTCTATTATTATTAAACACAACCACCTTGATTTGCTTTGATTTTAAATTGTTTTGTAACCAAGTGTAACTGAAATAAAATAGGAGCTATATGTCCGATTACCCAAAACTTGAAAAAAAAATGCCCAAATTCCGTGCAATCCATACACTATCTGTAAAAAACATAGATGACTAATTACATCTATGGTAAAAATCGCTGTCATATCGCTCTAAACTCTATGGATCGCTGTCAAGTTTCAGTTGTGTCATATTCACATTGTCACATTTGATTCTCCCGTTCTCGGTTACTTGTTTGTTATTATTCGTTAATGTAAAAGAGCACGTGTGTTTGAAATAAAGTATTTGAGGTAAAATTATTGAAGCTAAAATGCCGCTAAAAGACGAAAAACCTCGACTTTTTCTTGAAGAATTTAGTGTGAAGGTAAATACCATGTTTAAAAATTGTTTAAAGGTTAAAAACAAACCAACTTTTGATAAAAATAGTTGTACGAACATTTCTTAGAAGTCAATTTATTATCTTACTTAAACTACAAAACCGGTACTCGACGAGTTAAATACTCAAATTCGTGACCGAAACGAATCTGCATAATTTGCTTCTGGTATATTTATCATAATCCTTTTAATTTTCAGAAGGCACCCAATGATTACGGTATGTCTGATGAAAAGTGGAACTTCAAAAAGTTTACTAAAAAATTTCGCATTGTTGTCGTGCGGATGGATAATTTTGAAATGGAGTTTGATTTGATTGGAATACAGCCTGCATTTGCCAATGCGTTTCGTAGATTGATGTTAAGTGAAGTTCCAAGCATGGCTATTGAAAAAGTTATGATCAGAAATAACACTTCGATTATCCAGGATGAAGTACTAGCACACAGACTGGGATTGATTCCTCTTAAAGCAGACCCCAGATTATTTGAATATCGTCAAGAAGGTAGTAAAAGGAACACAATTTTCATTTTATTTGAGCAATAATTTTATGAACACCTACATTCTTCTAATATTTTATTGTTTATGTTTTCAGATGCAACAGGAGGAACAGAGTTTGATACTATAGAGTTTACAATGAAAGTAAAGTGTACTGTAAATAAATCACAACCAAAGGATTCATACAGAGCTGAAGACTTGTATGAAAATCATAGTGGTAAGTGATACATAATATTTTGTTATTATTTTTATATAGGTAAATAACATTTTTTGTGGTGTTTTCTAAATTGCATGTACATTTGACTCTTGTTAATTCAAACCTATCTATAATTCAAACTTATGAGGCAGGCCCTAGATAATCTTCTTATAGTCCAAACTAATTCAATATATTTTTATCCACTTAGCAAATCAAATTAACTTGCAGAAGCCAATACCTATATTTTGATATCAGACCATTTGATATTTCGAATATCAAATAGTCATTCTGTAATTGAACATATTTTAACAGTTCCTTGAATTTTAAATTAATGAGAGTCTGTATATGGGAATTACAGGATCACACTTAACTTTTGTTAATTAAACTGTCAAACACCGAGCGGTCACCAGTGACCGCAATCTATTGTTCTATAATTGTGTCTATAATGACGGTACTCGACAAGTTAAACTTATGATAAATAAAATGAAAAAATAAAAATATGTATTTTACCTTATAGTATATTCATCTCAAATGAAATGGCAGCCCATGGGGAATCAAGCCTCTATACATAAGGAAGCTGACATTGGTCCTGTGCATGGAGATATACTTGTATCAAAGATGAGGCCTGGCCATGAACTGGATCTAAGCCTTGTAGCTGTCAAAGGCATTGGAAAAGACCATGCTAAGTTTTCTCCAGTTGGTAAGGTTTATTACATTGTCTTAATCTGGGAAGATAATTGAAATCTTGTTCATTAGAAGTAAGATAATCTAGATTTTTGTTCAAGTTACAGTTTGGTTTTTCTTTTCTCTGGGCCTTTTTTCTTCTAGTTAGTAGTTACTATTGTTTCTTTACCTGATTAAACTAAATCTCGATATTTTACATAGAAATGAATTCATCTTTCTCAGCTACGGCTTCATACCGCCTTCTACCTGAAGTGACCCTCACACGTGAAGTGCGCGGCAGCGAAGCTACGCTTCTGCAAAGTTGCTTCGCGCCAGGAGTCATTGGCATTGACTCAGAAGGGCGAGCTTATGTACGAGATGCCAGATACGACACTTGCAGTCGAAATGTCTATAAATATGACGAAATTAGAGATGCTGTCATTTTGAGCAGAGTAAGAGACCATTTCATATGTAAGTATAACTTTTTTGAAATTTAACACGCAATCACAACATTTTACATTATTAAAACTTAAATAGGGGTGTAGGTAGGTGGATGTACATGCTTTATTTTTAGATACTTTATGAGAGGCGCAGTCTGAGTTTTTTGACTAGCTGGAAAGTGATAACTTACTGATTGATTTTTTATTTTACAGTTAATGTGGAATCTGTTGGAGCTCTGCAGCCTAATGTTATATTTGTGGAAGCTGTTAAAATATTACGAGATAAGTGTAAATCGTTCCTGGATGAGCTAAATAAATTTAATTAAATCTACATTTAACATTACGCCTTTTAGTTACCAAAGAAGTATAACATGATTATATTTAAAATTAACCCCCTATCTTTTGGTCTTAGGGTAATGGCTATTGGAATTTTCAATATTTCAGAAGCTATTACATGTACGTATAATTATAGAATATTTAACATTTAATTTGGTGTCTAAAAAGTTCCGCGGACGGAACTATAATAAATAAAGACACTTCAAATTTTAAAATCTACTACTAGAACTAAAATTCCTTGTATCCCAATCTCATTTCATTCGAATAGAGAAGGCATGTATTTCAATAAAAAACTTAAATAACAACTATTACATAAATAAAATTAAAACTAAATATTACTAAATTAAATATATACAACGTATGATTAAAATTAAATAGAGGAAAAATAAACTATTTATAAGGCTTCATTTGAATAAGTTTCCATAGACTGACATAGCCATAGCGTAAAATAGTACAATATGTCAAATAAACGTAAGTACGTCAATGTCAAAATAATGTCATCTATTGTTGATGAATTCATGAAATGTTTACGAAACGAAATACCTGTGGTGCTAGGACAACAAAAGTAACACTTAGAATCTAAAACAAGGGTTTATTCCCGTTAATTAGTTATTGAAATCTCTAAATCGATTTTATACCTTAACATGGGAAGTCTAGATAGAGCAGTTTTGACGGGTTTTATATGTCGTTTGTGTTCTGAAATGCATCGAGTGGTACTACATATTTATGGCGAAGAAGGCTTACGCTTGAAGATATCTGAGAAAATTAGTAGATATCTTTCAATAAATGTAAGTAACGACTAAAAATACTTGTTAAATTGCTTTTTTATGTTATGTAAAAAGATTACAATGATTTATGTAATAATTTTTTAGGGAACTTCTATTCTGCGTTAATTAATTTTTGTTCATGTTTCCTTTTTTACTCTAAGTTCTTTATTTCGTGACTGGTTTGTTGGGTTAGTTCTCATAATATCTGCTAATGTTAAAATTACAGGTGTCGCGCGCAGATCCATTACCAAAAACAATTTGTAAAACTTGTTTAGAACGATTGGAAAGTCAACATAGACTCGTAACCGTGATGGAACACGCAGCTCAATTACTGAAACGTAATTCAAGCGACCTAGAAATAGGTCGCGGAAAAGAGAATAATGATAATAATAACAAAAATGGTGGTTCTACACTTTAATACACATAGGTTTGTGTACTTTAGGCTAAATGAACTTTTGTTTAAATAGTGATGTAAAAATGTATAAATTACTAGCAATCTAGCATACCTAACATCACATAACTCAAATGCAATAGCCGAAGAGGTGCTTCATTTAAATATAGTCATTTATTAAACAATTAATATTGGTCATACTCCAATATACCTATTAAGTAATACTGGTGTAAGAACTTTACCTATTTGTGTAAGTAACTAAATGTGAAGATTGGCATTAATTGGCTAATTGCATTGAAATCTAACAAACATGGACTTTTCAATGGCACATGAAAAGAAAAAGTGGTTTGTTTACACATAACTAAATGTAATGTTACAAATTATGACAAATGCTTAGATAGCAGGATTGTTACTGTATTAATGAATTAAGTAAACTAATGTGGCATTGTTAGTAGACTGTAATGTTGCTAGTGATCTACAAATAAAATATAATTAATTATAATTATTATGTCTATGTATTAATTTATTGGATTAGGATTATTTAGATGTCATGGATTTTAATATTGCCTGGTATATGGCAATAGGTTCACCACCTAATACATGGGACTCATAACATACTCAGAGAAAAGTGGGTGTTACATTGTACAGTGGCATTAAGTGCTCTAATGTGCACCTCTGCCTACTCCCTTAATAATAAAAGGTGTGATGTTATGTTATATTGTTGTAATGGAATTTATGAAAAGCATATAGTTAGTTCATCAATAAAATTTGAAAAAGTAAATTGTTACAATTTTTATGTCAATCTATGTATATGTACCTACTTATCTTTTCATCATGAAGTGCAGAGTTTTTCAGTTTTCAGGTAAGTATTTATAATTGAGTCTTGTTTGCCTTTTTGTTGCTAGATTTTTTTGATATTACCTTTATGACTTTCACATGTTTTGAAGTTATGTTGATTCATACATATGTCTTAATGGTAGACTTCTATTCACAACAACATTTTGTAATAAATGGACAATTATCCAAAAAAGAACTAATATAACCTTTCTTTTTTATGTATTACACTTGAAGTAGGTATATACATCAAAATAGTAATTTCAGGAAGGTCTTGTAAAGCAGAGTAAATAAAGCTTGCACTTCTACCTAATTAATTTATGCATTATTTGTGACTTGTGGCCATTTTATATATGTGTACTCATTCATCTGTCCTCAACTAACAGACTGAGCCAAATGCAATATATTGTACTAAATTGAGTATATAATAATGTAAATGTTGTGTAATGGTTAAATTATATAGTAAATACATATAAATTAAATGAATAAGTTGTTACATAAGTGGAAGGTGTAGTGTTTGTAAATTGCTGGATTTTCACAGAATGATTTTCATCAATAAATGGTGCTCCATGATTTTAACTGAATTCAAAAAAAGAGGGAGGTTATCAATAACACTAATTTATTTTATTGTTTTTAAAATTTTCAGCAACGAAAGTTGGCCAATACTAATAACACAATTGTTGCCTGTAGGTTACATTGTTTTTGTCAGAAAGTGACACATGATTTTTGCTTAGTTAAGGGTTATCAAACAAATAATATTGGTGTTGAAGGCAAATGGATGACGTGCTCCATTTAGACCACATCATCGCTTACCATCAGTCGAGATAGTGTCCAAACGTCGGCCCATCAAATATAAAAAAAATGACTGGAGGTCCTCATACTAGGTCACGTAATATCTAGTCAGCCGTACCTAACTGATTAAACTCGAAAGTCAGAACAGACCTCGACCTAGTTGGGAAAAGGTCAAAATTGAATTTTTGGTGAAATGGAATCATTGTAAAAATGAGTCAAAACTTTCGTTGCTGCTTTGTTGCGGGTGTTCCGCGAAAAATTAAGATTATGACATTTTCGATTAATATATAATAATAGTGTGTAACTTTGATAATAATAATTTATGAAAGAAATTGTAAAATTATGTTTTCCATTTCAATACATGTTATTTGTGGTGATTTTATTTGTTAAAATACCTCGTTTAAGTGCTCGAAAGAGCTTGATTTCGGGGTAGGGCAAAGTATAATTTGTGCCCACGCGTTAGGTTGTTAGTTCGCAATATGGTTTAATTAATGGGATTGACACTTGATTACTGGCAAAATATGGACGTAACTACTGCGACCTCGCATAAAGATATCAAGGAGTTTGGTAGGTAGTAACTAAATCTGTGGAGAATAACAAGTGTGTAGTCAGAGACGTTGAAAACTTGTGTGTACCTAGTATAAAAATTACGTTTTAGAAACATGCGGTAACATGCCTTACAATAAAGACCTCGGAAAAATAAAGTTCCTGTAGTACCAACCTATCATCTAACAACTAATATGTAGTCTCTTTGCTCGAGGGGTAGGTCGCGTAGTGATAATCGAAGTGGTTTATCGGACAGTCGAGGTCGGGTAGAGCTAGAGACCATTCGGCCATGGTCTACTCAGCGACATAGGAGAGGAGTGAAGAGGGGTACAAAATAGACGTAGGTAATTCGTCCGCCATTGTTTAATATTATAAGGCCCCGTTTTCCCCTATGGTTAAGTTTCAGTTAGTCTAACTGGCAGATAACTTGAATACGTCAGATAAACTAACGGAAAAGTTAAAAAATAAACGCTTAGGTAGTAGGTTCGCTAGTCGCTACGTCATAGCTTGATAATTTATAATAAAATGTACAAACCCGATACTTAATGAAATATTTCGATTCGATATAATTATATTTCTTAAATGTATCTATTGCCGAAGGTTTTTGATAAAATAAAGTACCTATTAAAGAAAAATATTTGTATATTTAATTATTAATTTTATATATTTTTTATTCAATCTTTTTAATAATTCACCTTTATAAAACATTGATATAAATGCATCATAATCCCTCTCATAGCCGTCATTCCTTCATATAATACTACTATCCAAGCATACCTACCTCTACATACCTAGACATAAGTGCATTTTTTTAATTTGGTTGCTAAAGCGATACATTAGGCGCCGTTGCCTAGATAACCAATAATAGAAAACCAATAATTTAATCTTAAACAAAGTTTAAGCCTGTAGCTCTAAAAATTAGCTTCTTCATTCAAGCACGCCAAAGGATCCAAAAGACGCTATACACAGAATCAATGGTGTAAGGTGCACCTCTACACTAAACGCGCTTACCGATCTTCATTTTGTAAAACTGCCCTTAAGTAGGTAATAAGAGCCTTAATCGTACAGTAATCAGGAAGGGTAACGATGTAATCAAATACAATAATAACTTGGATTGTATTTATTATTTAAATGTAAATTACATTTATTATTGCACACTCCCACTCATTAACAACTTCTCAATTCTTGAAGCATTTTTCTGGATCAATATTTTGAGATCGTTTATTTTGTCATGCTTCTCTTCAATGTCCCGTTCTGTTTGTTTTAATTTAGTGTAAAATGGCGTCAGTGAATCTTCATTAATTCTGAAACAAAATTAATTAAATGTTAACCTTGATAACTTAGACAGAGGTCGCTAGTGGTCCTGTCCTCCTGTTTTGATTATGATGATGACTCGCTACTAGATAGCAAAATTAGCTAGAGACGGTACTGTACCCTGTAGTAGATAGGTACTTACCGTCAAACACAAGTATTACACACCAGACATACCTATATGTACAGATATTATACTCGGAATTTTAATTCGATTCCAGATTTGACAATTTCAGTGTTGCAACGTTATGACAAGTACTAAATAGTGACGTTGCGAAATTATTCGATATGGAAATGCAATATTTCTGGATCGATTCTTCTCGTTTATAATTTTACTCTCGTAAACTAAGTATATCAGGAAATTAAATATTTCTGAACCGATAATTTAGTTTCGACGATTAATTAACGATCTGAGACGTTTCTTTATAATTGTATGTGAAATAAATAAAAAAATGTAATCATGAAGGAACATGACAAATAAAACAGATAGATGTATTATGGTAAAAAGTTATTTTATAAATTGTCGCCGTCATTGCTATCGCTATCCTGTCACTTTCTGTAACATTTGTTATAAAACACACACACTGATTGTTTATCGATTTTTGTGTTCATCACTACACTATTATATGTGGTATCATTATTTTCCAAAATGACAGTAGCTATTGTCAAATCTGGAATCTAATTAAAATTCTGACTATAGTAATTTTTTTAAGGGAGAAAATCATCGAATGGCTGCCTGGGTGAGGTGGAAGGGAGTGTCATACTCTTACTGACTAAAAACCACCCCGTTCCTACTCTTGCACGGCGAGCCGGAGCCCCGGTGACCCGCTAGGTTCTCCGCGACCCGTTAGGTTCGGTTAGATATTAGTAATAGGTGTGGAATATGGACAAATACTAACGTCTTCTGTTTTTGCATCTCCTTGGTTACATCTTCATAAATGTTTGACCACTGGTGAAGTTCCTGACGCATTACTTCTACGTCTTCTTGGATGTGATCTAGTAACTTCCCGAGGGGATTTGCTACCCGAGACATAGCTTGGATATTAAACCGAAGTTGCTCAACTTCCTGGTTTATCGCTTCTCTTGCCTTTTGAGCTCCAAATTGCCACTCCTATTTAAAAATATGAATATTAATAATCAAAGCCCAGAAAAAGATGTAAATAACTACCTACCTCATTGCAATATTTTAATAAAATCGTAAATGTTAGTAAGTAAAGTGTAAACAAGTACTCACAATTTCTGTTTTCCCTGTTATGTGAGACAGTTCCTTTTGGGAATCTAAAATTTGTTGTACCAGATGTCCATGTTCGTTAGATGCGTATGGTAGTTGCATGTCTTGCTGATCTTGAGGACTTGAGCCCGTGCTTCCCTGATGTTCCATCAGTATAAGGTTCGTTTCTTCTTCCTACAAATTAAAATTGCATATTAAGACAACTTGCTTCAATAACTAAACAAACAAATTATATTCGACGCACCTCTTCATTCTGGGTATTTTCAACAATAATGTTTACTTTACCCAAAAGTAGATTATCAGAGTCTTTTATAACATTGTCAAGCTTTTCTCTCATTCGCGGAGCTCCGGGCCTAGAAGACGAAGGCCTTACACTTGGCGGTCGTGGATTTTTTGGTTCATTTGTGGTTGACATTGGAACTTTCACTACAGACACAGTTTCTTGTTCAGAGATCACAGATTTATTTTCGAATTCATTACTACTATGTTGGTCCTTTTGTTTTTCTTGCGCAATTGTACTTGTATCAAAATTTTTCATCTTCATGTTATAGTTTAAGTCGTCATGAGTTTGTATTTGGCGATCAGGTTCAATTAACTGTGCTTCATTATTGACATCTGCTTCTTGGGAGTTAATTTGATCTTTGATATCATTATGTGCAATATCATTTAAATCATTTGATGATGCTGATGAATTTAAATCTTTTTCTGCAATTGTATAGGAGGTATTTAGTGTTCCTTCATCATCGTTTTCTACTCTAGGACTTAAAACTTGGGTCTCATTTGTGATTTTTCCTAATTGATCGTCTTTTTCTGTATATGTATCAGATTCCTGTGATTGAGTTTTAATTAGTGAACTTTGTCCTTTGTCTATAGAATTCGATGACGGTATATTTTTATGGCGCGTATATGTGGTATCCTCTTTCGGCACATTATTATCTTTACCGGTTTTAGAGTTCACTGTTTTTGATTGTTGTGTTTTCTTCGGGTTCTGAGAATCCACTTTAACCGACCCATTTTCTTTTCTTTTTGATTTGACATCATTTGCCTTATCCTTATCTTGTTTAGACGTAGACCGCGCAACCTCATTCCTTTGATTAGTTAATTTTTCGCTGCTACGAGATGTTATTTTTTTTGTATCGTTAGTTTTCTTTGTTGACTTTATTGGCTCTTTATTTTTTGCATCAGATGATTGAGTTGACTTTATGCTTTCCTTATAACTTTTTACAGCTTCATCGGAAGATAATTTTTCATCGAGAGCCTGAGCTAAACATTGAAGTAATTCATTAGTTTTTTCAGGTTCTTGACCTGCAACTATTTTGGATGGTTTTGCAGCGATCGATTTTCCTGTGGTTTTACCTGTTAATATTATCAAACAATAATGGAAGGGGTTACATTTATGCGCTTATAAATAAGTAGGTGCATTTGGTACTACATAGGTACCTTCTAAATATGTTAAACTTACTCAGAACAAATATTACTTTATTGAGAAATAATATTTTACTGTCTCTGTCTTTAACATTTTCCGATACTAATTCATTGTCTTCAAACAAATTTCCAAAAAAGCCTGTCGTCTTTAATACCTGAAAATGAAAAAGATTAAACGGTGGGTGACGTTTACAAAAATGTAGGTTGGTATAGTTATAGTATCTGAGTAGATACTACCTAAGGTAGCTATTGATCATAATTTCATTCTTACCATAGGTACCTACATAATAATTTGTTATGGTAATGATAAAAGTGGCACATAGGTACGCACCTACATTTGTAGATTAGATACATACTAAATAATCAATAAATGGAGTGGGTTAGTTCGGCCATATGTATGTACATATCTACCTTTCCCTTTTCACCATAAGTATTTGGGTCAAATTATAGGTAGGAATTTATTAATTTAGGTAATTAGGTACCTACACCTAATCTACAGGTATCATGGCAACTAGGTGCTGATTATAATTTCAAAACTTAATGAATATTTCAATTTCATGTCCAAGATAAGAGGGATATCCAGCAGTAGGTACCTATGTAAAATTCTGATTTCAATTAGACAAACCTAAACATCACGCTGGCGAAGTCACGGATGGTAGATACTTAAGCTAGGTTCAAATAAAGTTATGAAGTTGGATATCAAGGTTTATCACCTAATTTAAACACTTATTAAATTAATAGCATAAGGTTCAGCTTCATTTTATTAATTTGAGATGAGTGTATCTACAATATTATATAAACTTACCGTCGTAACAATATCGTGTAAGAATCTGAACGGTGGCTTTTTCAGCAGTTTGTCACTTAACGGAGGCCGTTTAACGTATTTGCCTAAGGACAACTGGGTTAATTTTATTATATCTGGATCTAAGTCTTTTTCCATGTTTCATAATTTAAATTTTATAGTGTATAACATAAATGTATCAATACTTTCAAAAATATTTAGCAAACACAGGCACTAATATTGAAAGTAAGAACAATTTACAATGTCAAACACCACAGTCAAACATGTTGTCATGATGATTTTGATTATTTTGTTTACACCCTTTGTTACTATAGCAACGAACTCTATAGGTATTGACAAAAACGTTGTGGTGGTCTCGAGTTTAAAATCTATGGCAATGCTATTTAGGATCATACAATACATGACAAAGTATCGTAGGTATACATAGGTACCAACCCCGTAAGTATACCTACGATACTTTGTCTACCAGACTTACTAAGGAAAGAACTGAACACTTTTTTTTTTTTTTTTAAGGGGGGAAAATCATCGAATGACTGCCCCCGCCTGGGTGAGGCGGGAGGGAGTGTCAGACTCTTACTGACTAAAAACCACCCCGTTCCTTCTCCTGCACGTCGAGCCGGAGCCCCGGTTACCCGTTAGGTTCTCCGCGACTCCGAATCGGCATCGGCCCTATTGGGCCCCATCTGTGGTGGTCTGATGGCTCTTTGAGGCGCGCGCGGAACGCGACGCGCCGAACGCTCGGGTCTGTTTCTGGTCGGACGGGGAGCCACCCATGCTCGCCGTCCGCAGGCCCGCGCTTACGGTGGCCGGAGATCGTCCCGCGATCCCCGACGCCCGGTGTGTCCTTCGCGATGGCTGGGTTGCGAGGAGGCAGCGCTTCGCTGCCTCACGCGTCCCGCCTCCTCCTTAGCTAGCATGACTGCTTCGCAAAAGGAGGAGACGGCATCCCAATCCCCCTCGCTCCGCATCATGGCCTGCACTAGGCCCGGACGCGAGAGGTCGCCATCGCCGATCACTTCCCCGAGGACACGGCGGTGCTCAGCCCACGAAGGGCATTCTCCCACCGTGTGTTCCACCGTGTCCTCAGGGCGGTCCTCGCAGTGATGACACCCGGGCGTTTCCTCCCGCCCCATCAGACACAGGTACCTCCCGAAACTTCCATGTCCGGTGAGGACCTGCGTCAGGCGGTAGGTGAGGACGCCGTAGCGTCTCTCAAGCCACTCCTCAAAGAGGGGACTTACCGCTGCGATGGCAGCGAGCCCAGCCCTCGGTTGCGACAGTCGTTGCTGCCATTCCGCCATGAGATCGCGCCGGAGCTCATCCCGCCACGCACCTATCTGGCGCGGCAGCGGGGTTTCGCCCCGGCTACGTGCCTCCGCGCGCATGCTGTACACGCGCGCGAGCACCTTCGCCTCCAGATCCCACGGCGGTAATCCGGCAAAGAACTGAACACTTGGCGGGGTGGCTAGTGCTGATTTATTCAGGTATGTTTGTTATTCATATTCTATCGCGTGAAAACGGCTGAAGGAATGAATCTGATCGTTATGAATTTTGGAATAGGTGTAAATTAGTCTGTAATGTCACGTAGGTCACTTTTTATCCCATGCGAATGCGAGCTAAGCTACTGGCAGAAGCTAAGTAGTGCATTAAAAAATAATAAGATACCTACTGCTTCGCGTTTAGGTAAAAAATCTATTGTACTACTGGGGTACTCCACAGTTTAATTACTCTTCAGAACAGAATACTTATTTACCAACTATTAATATTTCATATTGAAGGGCGTTCGAAAACAACGTCCTTGTTTTTCATTGTGTGTGCTGCGTGTAGACACGCTGCGACATCTATTGATTAAATAGTTGAACTTGTCTCGATATTTCCCACATTAAATTTTTATACCGTATTTAAAAAATCAAAACTATAATTGTAACAATAAAAAAAAACGTATTGATATATTTTCTTTCGTAATAAAATCGATAACGTACGCATTGGACTTGATTGTAATATTGCAGTTGTATTTATTTCTAATGGCAACTCAATCACAAGCAATTTTTATACGTGGCGTTATACGAAGGAAATTCTGTCAGCGCCTGAGTGAAAAGAATATCAAATTTTATAAAAGTGAACTCATTGCACTTCTTCGAAAACAAATCAGTATTAAACCTGTAAACAATAACACTAAATTCTAATAGAAAATAACTATGCCGCCTAAACGGAAGGTAGGGCGTCCGCCTGGATCCAAAAATAAGAAAGGCAGGAAAACGTGTAAAAAGATTGTGAAAAAGAAGCCTGTTTCGATAATACGTGTAGAAAAGGAAAAAGATGAACGTTCTTCAAATAGTAATGATTGTACTACAAGCGATGAAAATGTCTGTGGAGTGTGCCAAAATATGTTCAACTCTAAAGACGAGCTGGGTACCCATCATGAACGGTGTCGTGCTTTGGAAATTGTATCAGATTATTTCCCAAAGGTAAACAAAGTGTTTCGTAAAGTTATATCTATCGTTTACATATTGTGGTCACATGAAACTGATTAACAGGCGCAGGCGCAAGCTCCGAGTCCTGTTATCAATCTAGATAGCACAGTATTTGGTTTATTTTGTTGTTTCAGTGTATCAGTATTGTAGTAAAAAAATCTTGCAAATTATTATTTTAAACAATAATTAGTAATTTATTAGCATTTTGTAATAATGGCAAAGTTAACTATTTGACAGCTCAATTGATTGTGTTTACACTGTTGAAATGAAATAATGCTTTGTATTTGGGCCCAGGATTCTAAATTATGTGGAAATAAACTTTAGCAATGTATTTTCCTCTTTCTTATTATTTGGCTTGTGACTTTATTATTATTTCATATTTAAAACAAAATGACAAAAATATATTTTTTTGAAATGTGGATCTAATTACTACTGCTCAATCTTGGAAACATGCAATGCATGGTTAAAATGGTATACTTTTTGATAGAATTTTAATCAAGTGAAATACTTTCAGCAGGCAGCATACACTTGCAATGAATGCCCCAAGAAATTTAGATTCAAGAAAAGTTTTATTGAACATTGCAAGAATGAACACTCCAAGTCACCTAAAAGAGTAGCATGTAGTCAGTGCAATGTGTATTGTCCTGACACGAAGACATTGAAGGAACATATCGCAAAGGTTCATGAAAGAGATATTTATGAATGTCCTACATGCCAGCGGCAATTTGTCCGTCGATCACATGTACTTCGGCATATGGCACAGACAGGGTGTGATGGCCAAGGAGCAGCAGAATACTCATGTGAAGTAGGTGTTTCAGAAGAAGTTATTGTACAAAAATATATGTAAATTATTAACTTTAGTTTATAGTTTTTAACTCTAACTATATTTTTGTATAATCAGTATTATATTGTGTAATGAGGATTTTTAATATGCTGCACTGAGGAGACCACTGAGTCAATAGCTAGTGACTAACCAGTAGCCAACAGGCTGGCTGGTATTAAGTTGAAAGTGATAAAGATAAACATATATATTAATTCATCGTCTCGAGCCATTTTCAACCGACATGAAATTAATTTCTAAATAAATATTATGCTTAATTTTTACAGATATGCCATGTAACATTCACTAGGAAAGATAATTTAATGGTGCATATAAGACTGCAACATATAGTGAGAAATGGTTACAAATGCAAGAGCTGCAAATTTGACTCGAAGAATTTTTCCAAATTGGTAGCCCACTGGCATGCAAATCATGCAGGTATTTTATTTAACAAACTTTTTATTCTATGCCTTTTTAATTTTTTAGTGAGTGAGTATGTATGTCTTGTGATGTAAATAAATATCACTCACTCACTCAGTGAAACATGTAACTCATAGTAAAGAAATAGTGGATCAATTTCACATAATAATGAGAAGACATAATCAAAACTCGAAATAATACATAACTTGAAATTAAACTATCTGGTAAATATAAGCATGAAAGTGGAACATACAAATATATTTTATATCTATAGTATAATAATTATGTAATTGAATTCTTCCTCCAGAGACTCCTGGGCAATACCAATGCAACACTTGCAGCAAATGGACCAGCTCCCGAGCAGCCATGACCAAACACCTTGAAATACACGGTGAAAAGAAATATGCATGTGATGTGGTAATTATCATTTACAACATATTATATATTATGTTACTATTTTAAAATCAAAGCATAATAATTTATTTATTTTCTTTCTTGCAATATTATAATTGCCAAGCATAATAATTGACATAGTTCCTTTTTGCCACACCATTCCATTGATGCCTTGAAAATAATGTGTGCATTAATATCTGTACTTATTTGTTTGCTGCTCTCATGGTATTAGAAGTTAAGAGGTAAGTGAGCCAGTCCAGTGGTGAAGTATGTAGTACAAGGGTATGGCGGGACGTGTAAGTAGATGTGGGCGTGTGGTTGCAGTGCGGGTACAGCACGTACACCATCGAGGTGATGCGGCGCCACGTGCTGACGCATGTGTCGGAGAAGCCGTACAAGTGCGAGATCTGCTCCAAGTCCTACATCCAGCGCGCTCAGCTGCAGCGCCATCTCGAGATCCACACAGGCAACCTATGCACCAAGTGTGAAACTCCATTCCCCTCCAGAGCAAAGTGAGCATAAACCAGTTATTTTGATATTATATAACATAACAACACGCCTTTTTATCCCCCCCGAAGGCGTAGACAGAGGTGCACATTAGGGCACTTATGCCACTACCATCTTGATATTATTATGTTCGATTTTTATTTTACTTAAGTACCTATTAAATGTGTCCGATCTCATTGTCGTACTCGTACGTAATTTTATTTATAGATACAGATTGTGGATTACCATAGAATTTTTGATTTAAATGACATGAAGATGATTTAGTATCATACTGTTAGTCCATATCGTTTTGTAAAAGCCAAGAGGAATAAGTACGGAACCCTTCGTGCGCGAATCTTGACTCGCACCTGACCGATTTTATTTTCAATCAATAATATATACTTTATATCATTCAATACAATTGTATAAATTAATATTAGTCTCTGTATTAATTTATACATATTATTATAACTTTAATTATATAGTCCTAAATCTTATTTGTTTACAGGTTACTGGTTCACATGAGAGAACATATGGGATTAGATAAGTTGCATTGCCCCATAAAGACATGTACTTATTACACAAAAGCTTTTTCCACTGAAAGTGGGCTGAACCATCACTTGAAAACGCATGGGGATGATAAGCGTAAGTATTTGAAAAATGTAATTTAATTAAATTTATTGGCACTATAATAATAATATAAAAAAATTGTATAATACATGTTAGAAAAATATTATTTAATAATACATATATTTTAAAAATGTAATAATATTAAAATACCATTATACAGCGTACAGCTGCGAGGTATGCGATAAGAAGTTCCACTCGGATATGAACCTGCGCCGACACTTGGAGACGCACACGTTGGACAAGCCGCGGCGCTGCATGTACTGCGTGTCGGCGCGCGCCTACGTGCGCGGCGCACAGCTCCTCCGCCACGTGCGCAAGAACCACGACTCCATCTTCCGCGGCCATCTGCTGCATGTGCGCCAAGTGCTCGTGAGTAAAATACTCCTTACTCGGATGTTGTTCTCGTCCTACTCGGTTACACTAACAGTTCTTAATTCAGAAGTTTCAGAAGTTTAATTTATTGTCATTTTACCAGGGTGCCGATAGCACAGCAGAAAGAGTGAAAAAGTCTGAATTAGATGCAATCCTAAACTTGTTAGATGTGGAATCGGATCGAATCTTGCAAGGCTACAGCGGAGCTGATGTGCTCTACGGTGGTATGCAAGATGACGAAAATCGTGCCAGCAAAGAAGTACCTAACAACGAGCCAAAGGTACGTCATTGCAGACAGAACTGAAATTTATAATTTATAGATTAGTAGAAGCAAAGTTTATGTAAAAAAAGAAATAGATTTTTTATGTAGAATTAATCAGCTGTTAATATCATAATTACATTCTTATTACAGAAAGTAAACTCTCCCCTACTGTCAGAAGATGAGCTTACCGAGAATTTGAGAAAACTGCTTTCCAAACTTATAGATAAGGAAACACTCCATCTATTTGGGTGGCCCGATGAGAGTGTAGATGTGGTATGTGTTATTTAAATAAAAATCACTGCTTAGCACTTCATTGTTTATATATTATAGAATTGAGTTTCATGTCTTGTATTTTAATACAGGTATTGGAAAAAGTAATCGAACAGTGTGGCGCTAAACCCGCAGACCGCGAAAAGTGGACACGTGTGCAACGGTTGCGCGAGAACTCCAAGCATTTGTTCTTGTACGTTATTGAAGACAAGAACATAGCGCGCATGCTGGGCACACACACCATTGATCAAATTGTTAAACATATACTGAAGCAAGTCAGCGACGATGATGCCAACGAGATCTAGTAAGCTCATTGTAAGTTACTACATACTTTTATTTTATACATACTTACATTATTCCATCAAGATCAACGCTAATGGTATTATGGTCAAAAAAATCTATTGAACATGGTACATGATGACATGATAAAATATGTAATATGTACATACGTAACTACTTAATAATGTTTAAAAAAATATTGTTTAGGCAACACTAAAGACATTTTACGAATTATTGTTGCTATTGTATATGTACAAGCATTGTTTATATCCAACAATTGTGAACAAGACCAATATATTTTAAGTAGCATTTAAATTTTTCTGTTTGGCAATATAATTATTAGCATATCGCTAATATTTTAGAGAAGTTATAATATAGAAATGTGCATGTGAGGTCCAAAATATTTTACAATATATTGTGCAATGGTCAGTAGATGTACCTGATAATATTGTTTTAATCTAGTGAGATCAATAAGTGGTCTATTTCCTATGATCAAATCTGTTTCATGTTAATGATTAGTGTTTTTTTTAACTCAAATCTGTTTATTTTGTTTGCACTTTTAAATGATATGGGAATATGGCATATTGTTATAAATTTTATAGTTAACTTTAGTTTTAACTATTGTTCCTAGATATAAATTATGGAAATTATATTTTCATTTTAGTGGCCTTAAATTAGTAACGAATTATTGTAATTTTATCAGATAGAATTACTATTTGGTTGGCAGGGCGTTTTAGATTATGTGTGTATAAGGAACAAATGTATGAATTCTTTTTTATTTTGTCACCCTTCTGCCAGCCTGCAGCGCGCGTATGATTCGGGATATGTCGCCGTTTCGGCATGTGTGTTGCTACTGTAACAACATTTCAGAACATATTGTAACCGTTATTTAAGAAATATTATATTTTTATAATGTTAACTTTTATATTCAGCAAAATAAAATAAAAATTTTATTTTTAAGAATAAGTGTTTTGGCGTTTTGCGCTGTTAAATATTATAAGTACGGGTGGACTTTTCCAACTGTGGGCACTGTGTATAAAAAAAAACATTAATGTTGAAAATGTAATAGTTGAACTTTCTTTGCCATTTATAATTAGAACCTATGCAATATAATAATTTTATGACAAGATAAACTCAAATTATAAGATGCATTGGATGCGTATCTACAATAGATAAGATTTATTCAATAACATTTTTTATTATATTGTTACTGTTGCTCAAAAGGCCGCCTTTCGATTTCTTTGCTGTATTACGACTTTCGTGTAATATTTTAAAATAGGTGATTGGGTTTTGGCAGTTTTTATTTTATACAAAATTGATATTTTACTAATTTTAAGTTTATGGTTAAAATGTTAATCATAAATAAAAAAATATCATATTTCTTTGTATTTTATTACTTCCTGTAAATACTTATATATATATAATATTCCAAACCATAATCTACCCCTGTTCCTTTCGTCCTGATCCCAATATTTATCTCTACAAAATTGGGCCTCAAAGAGTCTGACTCTCCCTTCTGCCTCACCCTGGCGGGAGAAGCATTCGATGGTTTTCCCCCCTTAAAAAAAAGGAGGAAATCAATCACACAATCGTTCTTCAGCTCACGTTACGTTCAGTCATGAGTCAATGTCAAAATGACAAGACGTGATAAAATTATTATTTTTGTTTGACATTGAAAGAAGTGAAGTTAGTGAAGTGAGCGTATTGGATTGAGGGGCAAAAGAGATAAATTATTGTTTAATTTGGAAGTTAAAGCAATTAATAATATCCATTGTACACATTTATTTTACTTCTCATTTAAATTTTGTGTGAACATGACGTCTAACATTCCTCTTATTGTGAGATTATTGGCTTCTTCTGTGTCAGTAGCCAACAGAGCTGGAAAAATTGTTCGTGATGTTATGAGCAAAGGAGAATTGGGAATTGTTGAAAAGGTATGTAACTCTGGCATAAGTTAAAACGTACTAAGAAACCCTTTTTTTGTACGAATATAGCTTTCTAAGAAATATGTAATTGGGGCCAAAGTTCACTATTTATGTAAAACTGGTTAACATCAAGAAGCGTTTGTAACTGTGTAATTGTTGGTTCAGGGTAAGGATGACTATCAAACAGAGGCTGATCGGTCAGCACAGCGTTGTATTGTTGCATCACTTGCAGCACAATACCCAAAAGTAAATATAATTGGTGAAGAGGATGGGCCTGATAATGAGGTAAGGCATTTACTAATCCACCAGTATGTATTGTTCATATTCATGGAAGTGAATGTTTAATTTATGTATTACAAAATTAATTGCTTTACTTTTGATTATGCAACATAGCACAGTCATAATAATTGATTACAAGTTCTTGTATATGGTAAACTTTGTAAGAAAAGTGACTTTGATTTGTTTTCAATTAGTCAACTTAGTCTATCATGGTTGGATGCATTGAATTGATTTAATAAACAAGTAATTTGAACTGGTTTACTTTATGTCTTATTGAAATAATTTACACATAACATATATAATTTAACTTTACGATGTCAATGGGCAATAATAAACTACTTTCACTTTTACAACAGTTCTGCAACATTGAAGTGAGAGCTGTTGATTTTGATTGGCATAAGGACTTTGTATATTGTTAAATTATTTTATAGTACCTAGTAGACTAAACTGGAAACTCTGTGAATATAAAATATCAGCGAGGAAAATGATTCGATTATTACTTAAGATGTGTTATCAGCCTTAATAGTAGTTAATATACATATTACATTATTATGTATTAGAAATAGGTCTTGAGTTAAAACATACCTAAAGGTATTGTTATATGCAGTCACTACAGCATGATTAACACTAATTTTTGTTGTTAAATATTAATTACAATGTAATTATATTAATTACCAGACTGTAAGAAGGGTATTGTGTAAATGCATCTAAACAATGCTTTATTTTATGCAAATAAATGCAAATTATAATTTACCATTTATTGTAACTAACAAATTAATAAAAATGTTGGCAAAACAGGGAGACATTGCTAGTGACTGGTTAATTTCTGAAGCTGATAAAGAAGTGCTGTCTTTGGAATGCCCTGCTGGCCTTAGAAGTGTCAAAGAGGAGGAGATTGTTGTCTGGGTTGATCCTCTAGATGGAACTTCTGAGTATACACAAGGTAATCATATTTAATTCTATGTTACACTACACAACCAGATGGGGTGGTTCAGCTACTACCCTAAAATACTATTGATGTATCAAATTCAATAGCTGATGTTCTGACATCAATCATAAAATTTGTGTTAAAAATATTTATTACAAATGTAAAATAATTCTAGGTGCACTAATGTTGAAGAGAGATCCATGGGAAAGATGGAAAATGTACTTAACTCATCCTTTTATAAGTATCAAGTGGTATTTAAGTTTGCTCCAATCTAATTATGGTAAATTGAAGATTTGCATAGGTTTTTGAGCTTTGTTATTTAGTATGCACTGTAGTAGTATGGACACAGTGGATCATGGTCGAGATATTCATTTCTAATGTATGTATTGTACATATTTCATGACATATTATCTAACAAATACAATTTGTGAACTAACTTTAGTATGTTCTTCTGGTTGTAAAATATCTCTCATCATGTTCTAATTACTTCCTATAGTTTTTTTACATAATAATCTTAAACCTGCATGTTGCATGAGTATTAAAATAGTTTAACTGCAATAAATAATTTGTAAATTGTTTCAGGCTTCCTTGAACATGTTACTGTTTTGATTGGTATATCTGTGAATGAGAAGCCAGTGGCTGGTGTGATTCACCAACCTTATTATAAAACTATACTGGGTGGGGAGAAGATAGTAGGTAGAACAATATGGGGCCTCCAGGAAGCAGGTGTCGGAGGATTTACCCCGGCCCCTCCTCCTGACTCCCTCATCATTACTACCACAAGGAGTCATTCCAACCCATTAGTTGAGAAGGCATTGCAAGTCATGAATGCTGCTCAAGTGCTTAGGGTTGGTGGTGCAGGTTATAAGGTGAGAATTAAATGTTTTTTAGGTAGGTACATGTTTGTTATAGAAGCTATTTTGTGATGAACTAATATACTTAATGAAAAATTATAGGTTCTACAACTACTGGAAGGCAAGGCGTCTATTTACGTTTTCGCTAGCAGCGGCTGCAAGAAGTGGGACACTTGTGCTCCAGAAGCAGTATTGTCTGCGGCTGGGGGGAAACTGACCGATATTCTCGGCGAATTCTACAAATATGGCGGAACAGAGTCACGACCAAACAAAACTGGAGTATTGGCAGCTGTCTCTAAAGACTTGCACAGTTATGCATTGAATAGAATTCCTCAAGAATTGAAAGAGGCACTTTCTAAAAAATAGTATTCCTTTTTAAAAGTATTACATGAAGCTGATGTGATCAAATGTAAATAAAACCACTTTGATTTAGTTTTTCACTGTTATTATACATTAAAAAAAAAACAAAACAAAAATCAACAATAATTATATTTACTGAAATAATTATGATACTGTTATAACATAAATTGTTTATTTTGTTTTAAATATTTTATTATCATGAGAGGTATTGTGAATATGTTGGATCATTAAAGCTTGCTTTTATACTTTTGTAACATTTTTCTTAATTCTCTTCGGAGGATTTTACCTGATGCGTTCTTAGGTATGTCTTTGAGAAATATCACACCACCTCGTAGATGCTTCGCTGGTGACACCTGATAAAGAAGTTGTTATCAGTTTTACGCACGTTATTAATATTATCGGTACATGTTTTATCTAAGTCCTAATAAACTCGTACGATTCAAAATCGACAATACATCGCGCATGACGCATTTAAAAATTTACCAATTTTATACGTATTTTGAAGCTATAAATAAAAGAAACCTCATACAAAGTGGATTACCTTAGATGCAACAAAGTCCACAAGCTCTTTCTCTGTGACTTTAGAGTTGGGTTGTGCGACTACGAATGCTAGCGGCAGTTCACCGGCGGCCTCGTCGGGCAAGCCGACTACTCCTGCATCGGCTACCCCACTATGTTGCAGTAGTAAAGCTTCTAGCTCCGCAGGCGCCACCTGTAGTTAAATCCATAGTATTTAAATATACTTTTTATAAACCATAGCCCCACTACGATTTTCTCTCGTGTAAACGAACGTGAACATACGATTCACGAACACTTCACATCCAGAACAGAAACTACAATCTGTGGATCACGCAAAAAGTTGTGGCGAGCGCGTATTGATGGAACAATGACAGCAGTCGAGCTATTACGCTAATCGTGCAGTCAAAATTATTTGGTTAAAATTGGTTGAATAAACCGTAAACGGTAATAATAAGCACCTAAATAGTTAGGTGCTTATTATTATCAAAACATAAATAGGTAATTTATGTTACATACATATAGGAATGGTATATGGCTATGCAATTGATTTATTGGACCTATTCATTCTCGGTTTCTTTTTATTTTATTTATGGTAGTTCAATTAATAATATGGTAGTTAAATTATATTTTTTTATAGCCGCCTCTCACATTGGGCAAGGCTATTTGAGTGGCGTTGTACAAGGCCACTACACTACATAACAATAAAGTTATTAATGTGAATTACCTGGAAGCCTTTATATTTAATGAGTTCCTTTAACCTGTCGACGATGTAAAAATAGCCTTCGTTGTCATAATAGCCGATGTCTCCAGTTCTGACGTAGCCTTCGTTGTCAAACAATTCGTCGCTGGCGGCGCGGTCTCCCATGTAACCTTTCATACGCAAAGGGGACTTAATCCAAAGTTCTCCTTCTTTACCAGGACCCAATCTTTGTCCATTTTCAATATCAATCACCTAAAACCATAAAAGTTTAATTAATACCTTTATACTAATCTTGATAGTAGCATTAATATAAAATTTATTTTATTCTGTCTTTTAGTATTTGTATTTTCTTTTACCGCTAAAGCAATAGCTGCCAAAAGAAATACATAATCAGTGAACATTCAACCACTATACCTTGACTTTCATTCCTGGCGCGGGAGTTCCACAAGAGCCCACCTTTTCTCCACTTGTTAAGTCCACAAGACACGCCATTGTTACTTCTGTCAGGCCGTACCCTTGTTTAATGAAGTCAATACCTGTCCTGCAAAGTTTTTGAAAATATTAGAAGGATTTTGTTCATTATATTTTGAAACCACTATACCACCACCGGTACTGCACGGGTTTTATTGTTCGTGGCGTCATGTTTGATGATAGCCTATGGCCTTCCTCGAAGGTCTATACCACACAAAAAATTTTATTCATTTCGAACCAGTAGTAGGCGTTCAACTCTTTAGCTTTACAATTTTAAGATAGAAGTATTTTTTTTAAAAACGGACGGATTTAAAAAAAAAAAAAAAAAAAAGAATTGTAGATTCTGAGGAGAGACGACTAAGAACTGAAGATCGCAACAATATTTTGCCCATCCCAGAAATCGAACATGAGGGCCTACTTGCTAAGCAATTGCAATTACTCGTTCGACCAATGAGGCAGTATAACAAAGTGTTTTATATCAAAATAACTTGTGTATTTAATTATGAAACAGGATACCAAACCTTTCTGAAACTGCTTTTTGGATGTCCTTCGATAATGGTGCTGCGCCGCACCAAACTTCAACTAGTGACGACAAGTCGTACTTGAGAACCAGGGGGTGTTTCGCAAGGAACACGGCCAGCGGTGGCACTATGGTGGTCATATTTATCTGTAAACAATAAATACTTGATATAAATATAATATACATAGCATATATCGTGAATTGATTAGGTACCCCAAAAGCAGAGCCAGAGGTGTGCAATGCCAGTTGCCTATTTATTTTTCTCTCAATTATTTGTTTATTACATTGCATAATATGTACTAGTAAAAACTCAATTACCAAAATCCCAAACCCCCTTTAAACTGTCAAACACCAAGCGGTCACCGGTGACCGCAACCTATTGTTCTATAATTGTGTCTACAAAACCGGTACTCGACGAGTTAATATGGGTTAAAAAACGTATGTATAGTTATAGGTACTACCGGTGTTATAAAAATGTTGTTAATCTGTTCAAAGGTTATGTGATGTGGTTAGAGCTGCATGCTTAAATATCACTAAATTATGTTTTGCCCAGCTAGGACAGTTACACTGACCTGGTGGGTGAACTCAAAGAGTGTGCTTGCAGTTTGTAATTGATTAAAAAACTGGACAAGTGATTGTGAAAAAGATGAAGTGGGTGAGGGTCGAGGGTTTGAACTTTAAGTGGCTTCTTGTCGTGCCTGCTAGCTTCCTGGCGGAATGATGAGATGGTATTAATCTAAACTACAATTTTATAAGAAATTAAAAAATTATTGATGTGTAAACATAAAATATTAAATACGATTGTGGATTAAAAAACTTACTTTGTAATTTTGAATAGTTTCCAAGTACTGTTGTTCATCAAAACGGATTAGAAATACGATTTTAGTGTTCATTGCCATTACTGCGAATGTTGTGATAAATCCATAAGCATGGAACCATGGTATTAGTGACAGACCAGTCACAATGCCATTGTTTTTCTGAGACTGCACATAGTCAAAGTAATACCTGAAACCATATTACAAATATGTAAATAACAAGTATGCCATATAGTAGATATGTAGATTTATATTTGTCTATTAGAAGTCAAGGATCATGTAGTATTGATCTACATTGATGGGAAAATGTTATTGGTACTGACTGACACTATATTTTGTAGATTGTCTAGTCTAGTCAGTAATCATAATATTAGTTATACATAATTGTTTTAGATTGTGACTGCTTTGACTCTGCTACTCACTTCATATGTGCAGATAATGTGAGGAAATTGACATGAGTTAGTTCTACCCCCTTGGGTAAGCCTGTAGTTCCCGAGGAGCACATTACAGCCACTGTGTCTTCCAGTCCATTCACATCAGTTAGGGTGAAGTCATCCACATGTACTTGGTCCTTTATCAAGTTATCATACATAATGCAATCAGGAACAGCTTCAAAATCTCCAAACATAATGAGTTTACATGAAGAAGATAATTCTTGACAACAATCATAGATGTTCTGTGATGTGATCGGAGAAGTAAAGATGTATTTAGGCTTCGTTATTTTAAGCAAATGAGTTATTTCACCTGTAAAAAAGATTAAGCAAATTATGCTATTGGAATTTGATAAAAAATATAAGGAAATATTGGTTATCTTGTACCTAAAGATATAAATGCTAATTAAGTAATTATAGATTAGCACAGAATCTTATTGAGTTTGAAATTATAATACTGAGATATTCATTTAGTGGGTGTATTGAGGATGTTGGTATTTGGGATGATGACATCATCGCGCTGGTGATGTAATATCACACTCCAACAACAAATTTATGACATCCTTTATTGACTTAGAAGTTATAACCTTACAACTACTAGGTTCACTCACCAGGAGTATATGTAATGTTGAGTGTGGACAATATTCCCCCGCAGTACATGACCGCCAGGGCAGCTACAATGAACTCAAATCTGTTTTCACTGCTCAGTCCTACTAGGTCACCCTTTTTTAAACCTAGCTTTCGCAAACTTACTGCAAGATTTACACTGTTTTGAAGAATATATCTATATGTGACAGACTCTCCTGTTTCAGCACTTATCTGAAACATAATACATTAAGTTAGCACTTATCTGAAATAAAATACATCAATTCCTCTTTAATTAACTTTGAAATTAATTTTATTATAGTTGTGGTAATGATATATAAATCTGGTTAGGGTTTCCTCTTACAAAATTAATAGATAACAGTAATGAAACGTTTGTTACATATACATGTTATGGAATTTATCAACTTACTAAAGCTATGTTATCTCCTCCATTTTTCAGCTGATCGTACAAGAATTGTCCAAAAGATAAATGCGCTGGAATGCCTCGTTCTTCAGGTCCAGATACCACATTGTTGTGAATAGTTACCGGCATTTTAGATGCTGATACACTTAAGTTCTCTGTACCTAACTAAATCTATCTGAATTCTTGACTTAAAATAAACTAGCCGTCAGTTATCAGAATTAATTTTAATCTTATCTGACAAGTATATCTATAATTCTAATATCTTTCTGACAATTTGATTAGCAATGGATTAAACTTTGGATGGAGACTATGGAGAGTAAATTAATTAATTCAATATTATTTTAAGGTTACTTCGGAATGTCAGTGTCATGACTGTCATGTCACTTTTATAGCATTTATAGTGATGTTATTGTATAGTAATGGATTGACTAATAAATATCGATTAGATAATTGAAGTTAAACATGTTACAAATGACACACAAAAAGATCTTCATTGTGCTTAAGAGTCTTCATTGTGCTTATTGCCTAGTTAATAAATCAAGTTTATAACAAACACGATTCCTTTTCTATTGTCAGGGAATGACCGGGACGATTTCTTGACATTCCAATTAGATTC